CTACAAGAAATTGGGTTTCACATGGATAAACCTATGARATTGTACTGTGACAACCAAGCTGCACTCCATATCTCTTCCAATCCTGTCTTTCRTGAGAGAACAAAGCACATAGAGGTTGATTGCCACTTTGTGAGAGAGAAGGTTCTTGTTGGAGAGATAAATATAGAACATGTGGGCTTGAATGACCAGTGGGCAGATTTATTTACAAAAGCTCTAAGCTCAGGGAAAGTGAACTATCTATGTAACAAGTTGGGATTATATGACATATATTCTCCAGCTTGGGGGGAGTGTTAAAGTGTGCCGAATAGGGGTAGTTTAGTCTTCTTATGTTTGTTAAGTAGCTTGCTTATGTGGTAGTGTTATTAAAGTTACTCTACCCCACACTTAAGTAAGGGCATTTTTGTCTTTGTAAAGATTATTAGAGTCTAATATAGATTAAGGGGGTCGACTGTATGTGTAATCCATCATATTTCGACAGACCCTTCTTCTTCTTCTTCTCTTCTTCTTCTTCTTCTTCTTCTCTTTCTGGTTCGGACTACTGTAGCACCAGTCGAAACAGCTTGCAACAACTTTGTGCCTTAATTTTTCATTTTCATTTGGAAACCTCCAAAGCCATTTGCAAAGTAGAGCCTGCTTCTTCAGCCTAACATTACCAATTTTCAAACCCCCTTCCGCCTTCAACTTCCTCACCTTTTCTCATCTAACCAGATAATCCTTCTTTTTTTTTTCCCTGGCTCCCAAAGAAAATCCCTTATGATTTTTTTTTTCAATTTTCCTCACTATCCCTCATGATTTTGTTAGTCCTTTAGTGAAAACAACAGCTAGCTGTTTTGTTGATGGCATGTAAGGAATACAAAGTTCTCAAGAAACAATCCTTTCATGTACTAAGTGTTAATCAATCTCGATGTGCTTTTTCCTATCATGCTGGATTGGGTTATTTGCAATGTTGGTTGCAGCCTGATTCACAATAGAGCTTGAGTGGTCTAGTTATATCTATCCCTAATTCTTTTAGGAGAATCCGAAGCCGAAGTAGTTCAGCAACCCCATGAGCCATAGCGCTGTATTCAGCTTCAGCACTTGATTTTGCCACAACAACTTGTTTCTTGCTTCTCCACGTGACTAAATTTTCACCCCACAAAGGTGCATGTTACAGGAAATGTCTGGAATGCCCCTGATTAGTGGTGGGACACCCAGACTACTTAAAACAGCAAATAAACTTAGGCCCATTAACACAGGCCCAGTACATAACAACTTAAACACAAATACAGACTAATAAGAACACTTATCAGCCGAACCATCAATACATAAAACCCCTCAACCTAACAATTTTCTCCTTTCACATAAAACAAAATTCTCTCAGCTACAAATAGGTTATCTTTGTGGCTGATGCATAAATTTGCTTACCACAATATGAGATGATAGTTCTGGACCGTCTGGTTAAGCACAAATGCAAGAGTTTACCACTAGGTTTTTGATGCATATCATGATTTGTATTAATTCACCTATATCATCACACAAAATTTATGATTTGGATTAATAGGAGTATTATCACACTTGATTCTCAATTTCTTGTTCCTTCAATAGATCCAACATATATTTCCTTTGTAATACAAAGATACCCTTCTTGGACTCACCCACTTGAATTCCTATCAAATGGTTACAATTCCCCATATGTTTTATTTCAAAATTATCGGCCAAGAATTATTTTAGCTTGGTGGTCTCTGATGATTGGTGAATCATTCCTTATGAGTTATGACCACAATGTCATCAACGTACACATAAGATAGTCAAGGAGTTTCAACTCTTGAAAAATAAGGTATGATCTGCATGTCATTAGCTGAATTCCATTCGTTGTACAATTCCTGTAAACTTGTCAAAGTAGGCTCATGGAGATTGCTTCAGGTAATACATTTGACTTCTTTAACCTATAGTCTTTCCCTTGATTTCTAGGAATAGGTATTCTAGGTCATGGCTACATATATACTTCTTGAGGATCTCCATTAAGAAACCCATTCTTGACATCCAACTAACAAAGAGACAAAAATAACACACAACAAGTTGAATTCAACTTGACATCCACTAAGAACCCATTCTTTCGGGTGATTTCTTACCACCTTTCTTGAACCTTCTTTTTTATGTTTAACGATAATTTATTTTATTATCAATAAAATGAGATAAATAACATCCCAGTTGAAAGGAATACCTTAGAAATCAGCCAAGTCTTATATTTCTTAATTGATCCATGTACCCATTTACAACCTACTGGTTCTTTCCCTTGAAGAAGGTCAGCCAACTGCCAGGCGTGATTCTTTATAAGAACTTGCATTTATATCCTTCCATTGAGGGTGAGATACAACCTTTGCAACATTTTTAGGATTAGGGATAATTGAAATGGCAAACATAAAGGCGCTATAAGATGGAGATAAGGACCTGTAAGAAATTGAGATATGAAGTAGTGGTAAGCCATCTTTTACCTTTGCAAAAGGCAATAGGCAAATAAGGATAAGGATTTTCAGAAAGATCTGGTCTTGGTGGGACTAATGGAAACAAGAGGATTACCTTGATCACTTGAAGCAGAGGTCATAGATGTGGTGGATTGTCCATAGAGATGGGTCAGGATCTGCAGCAAATAAGACATAAGACATGTACAATGGGCTACGCAACCCAATCATGAGTGGAATGCCAGTGGTCTGTACAGTTTACAGATGCTTAGATTCTTAACATGTTTACTATTGATTGGGTTTCATAACCCATTGTACACGCTTTGTTTTTGATAGATCTTGAGTCCACAGGCATAACTTTCTATTCATTGTACTTTAGAGTCCTTGGAAGGTGTTTTTGACCTTGCTTCCTACTTTTTTGTAACACAGAAGATATGAAACTATTTCAGGAACTAAGGTGAAATTTGGGAGGATTTATGGTGTGGAGATTAACCTCTCAATGTTTAAAAATAAGCCAATTGCTGAAATGGTTTCTTTTAGTAAGAGGTGTATTGCTTGGGATTTGGGGCTTAGAAGGGATTTAAGAGATCGGAATTTTGTGAGGTGACATCTTTATTAGAATCTCTTCAAGAGGCGCACCTGGTTGGCGGGGGGGATGAGGCGGTTTGGAGTCCTGGTATGGGGAGTACTTTTTCATGTGCTGCTTTCTTCCAATCCTTTAATTGCTCCCTTGAAATAAACCAGTTCCCTATCAAAGCTTTGGAGTGGCCTAATTCCTCCAAAAGTGAAGTTGTTTCTTTGGGAGGCTGATAATTAAGTTGTCAGTACCTGTGAAAGACTCCAACAAAAGCTGAAAAGCTGGTGCATGTCCCCTCATGTGTGTGTCCTTTGCTTGACGAATGGGGATAACAGTAACCATATTCTGTTGCATTGCCTCTTTGCTTCACTGGTATGGAATCATTTTTTCAAGCTATGGAGTTGTTCAATACAAATATCACATGCAATACTCAAAGACAAAAAATACTTTTGGCAATGTGTGCGTGCAGTGGTGCTTTGGGGTTTGTGGAGTGAAATAAATGCAAGAATATTTGAAGAAAAATATTCAGCATTAGAATCAGTAATTGACTTGACTACAATTAGGGTGGGTCATTGGGCTATGGTGAGCAGTGAATTTAAAGGTGTGTCTCTAAATGACCTGTTGAGAGGATGGGAAATAGTGGCTGGATTCCAATCCAAAGCTCAACATCAAAGAGAAGGGTGGATAGATCCAGTTTTGGGTAAGACAAAGTTCAACCTTGATGGCTGCAGTCTTGGGAATCTGGATGCTTTGGGAATGGGGGAGTGATAAGAGACCACAACAGCAATTTTCTAGGAAGTTTCTCAGGCCCAACAGGACAAGGAATTTTTATGGGCAGAATTGTTGGTCCTTCTTTAGAGTCTATAACTTATGAAAATGAATGGTTTAGGGGAGGTGGAACTGGAGGAAGTTCCATGGAGATTTAGGCATCTGGTTAGACCTGTACAAACATGGGTACCAGTTTGAACAGCTCATTCAATTTTATACCTAGTAAAGGGTGATCTTTTCCCACCCCACCTGGAAACTTTTGGACTTGGGCCTAGGTTTTGTGTCTAGGCTCCAGCCGAGCCTGGGCCAGGCCTCACCCACAATATATTTTATAACATATATACATATGTTGATATAATAAAATATTATAATAATATATTAATTTTGAATGATTTCACAAGATTACCATTAAGATAATTTTCACACTTTTTTAGGACATTCTCAGAATATTTAATCAAGTACATTATGCAAGTTCACTCAGACAGGATTGAGTATGGGTTATAGTGCTCCAGTTAGAGACATTTTGGGGATGGTATGTGTTTTATTTATTTCTTTGGATAATATAGAAATTGAATCCCAATCATAGTGGAGTTTTGGTTGTATCTTGGTCCTTTTTGACACAGGCTGCATGTCAAAAAACTTGGTAGTGCTTGGTGTCTTAGGTTGTGAGTCACATCATCTTGCGGATCAATCTTGTACTACTTTGCAGATTGTACTGAAAGAAAATAAAGTACCATATAAAATAATGCTATTTCCCTTTTTCATCCCTACCCCAAATCTTTAGAAACCTTTCAAGTTTAACCTCTTTTGAGTTTTATAGTTTACATGCATGCTAAACTTTTTTAATTTAATGGAATCTGTAATGCTAAGGTTAATATTACTTTTGCAAAGCATGGAAACCTGCAAAACTGAGCAGGAGGAATTTGCTTTTCTTTCATACTTGGCAGATTGATGGGCATACAGTTCATAGCACAATCATTTCATATTCTGATTGTGGTTACTGTGTTTTTTTTTTCTAGTCTGGTGGTTCCCTTTCTGCGATTTGGTGAAGTCATTTCTGGTGGCCCTCATTTTCCATTAACCTCTGATGCATTGAAGAAAGTATTGACTGGTCATGCTTCACAGGATGTCCTACTCAGCATTGTCCATGCAGTAAGTGCCTGTGCTCTTTGCTTAAGAAATTGAACATCGTTTTCACAAGATCTAATTTTGATTCCCAAGCTGTATTTTGGAATCTATATTTTCAGTGTCGCAAGCAAAATTAATCAATTACTATCAAAACTGAGTTTCCACCATTTGTGGCTGTGTAGATGAATCTTATTTCATAGGTCCATTCTATCTAGTACCATGCCTGATTTTCTAGGATGAGCTTGAAACATCAAAGCAGGATTTATTTAATGTTATGACATAAATCTTATCCAGTAAGAGAGATGATACTTACAAAAATTTCATTAAAATAATGGTGCAGAACATGAATATCAGCAAAATCTATATATGAAAAACATCCCGGAGCCCTGTTTTTTGGACAATTTACCTCTGAGAACTGAAGTGTTTTGTTAGTCTGATAGAAGCCAACCTAACTAAAAGTCAAATTCTGAACCACAACCAGAAAACAGAAGCCAACAACTTCATAAAAGTAATGTATCAGTTGAACCCTGTATTCAGATGAGATGCCGGCAGTTTGTTGGGATTGACAGGCTAGGCAAACACATGCAGGTGACTGTAACCAACCATTAATGTCTTCCACCGTAGAGAATTTCCATATCAAAATTAAAATGGTCAAATATATCATAGTTGTCTAATGGGTAATGGACTTAAATATACCCTGAGTTTTCATAAATTGACTTAAACATACCCTGAGTTTTTCAAATAGACTTAAATATACACTGTGATCATAAAAAGACTTTTTTACCCTTCATTGTTCTTTAAATTTTGATCATTATTTATTATCTTTCATCCCTTCATTGTTCTTTAAATTTTGATCATTATTTATTATCCTTCATCATTCTTTAAATTTTCAAATTGACTTAAATATATCTTTCTGGTTGCTGGCTTGCCTCCACCCATCCTACTGGTCGTTGTCCACTTTCTTGTTGTTTTCTTGTTACCCAAGTTGGAAGTTTCCACCATTCAGGCATTCACCTCTTGCATTCTTGATGCCGTCCAACCTTTGCTGCTTTCTTGAACTAGATCTGTTGCTAGTTGATGCCTCCCAATTTTGAAGTAAGCTCCTCCTCTTAATCTATCATTCCTCCAGATTTTGACTTTTGAGTTTTGTTGTTTGTGTCCGCGCTTTGCCAACTTGAAGTATCCAAAGATTTCTGGACCCAAATTACCTGGTTGAGGATGAGAACCTTTGAGTGGTTGTTGTTCCCCATCATATTTTCTAGCTGCTCACTTGTTTGATCGTTTGTGTTGTTCACTTTGCTTGTTGAAACAACTGTAATCATCTTTTTGAAATAACAAAGAAGCCTTGAATAAAAGGGGATAAATCACAGGATGAGAATGGGTTATTCTTTCCACACCATCTTAGCTTATTGTTGATTGTTTGTAACTGAACATTATGGCCTTATGGGTGGTAAAATCAAGTGAAGTTAAAGCTGCTTGAAACACCTCTCCACCAGCAAAAACAAAGTCCATTATTTTCAAAGATTGCTGTAACTGAAGATTATGGGTATTGTAAAGACTGTTTCCATTAAAGAAAGAAGAATATTGTTTTAAAAGAGTCAATTATTTTCAAAGGGTAAAATAGGATTTTTATAATATTAAAACAGGTTAATGAGAAGGGACAAGAAATGAGGGTAAGTCCAGTGGGGACAATCTACAAGGTATATTTAAGTCAATATGCAAAACACAGGGTATGTTAAGTCAATTTATAAAAACTCAGGGTATGTTTAAGTCTTTTACCCTTGTCTAGTTTTGCATTTTTTGACAGTTGGGAAAGATATGGTAGTGAGATGGGTTTTTGTTGAGAGAGAGAGAGAGATTGGAAAAGGTCAGGATAGCACAACTCATTCATTATTACTTGTACCACTATGTTTAAAAGAAGCCCAAATGTCCAATTATAATAACACCCTGGTTGAGCATCATGGATATTATTGACAGATAATCAACTATCTGTTTCCTCATTAAGGGAGTTCTAAAAGCTAAACTTGTAAATATTCTTGGCAAGTTGAGCATCATGGATATTAATGCTCTACTTGTGGGGGAGTATAGCAATATAAGGCATCTGTAGTGGGAGTTTACTTTTGTCTTTTCATTTTGGTTTTTAACTCCAGTAGAAGATCAAGACTGTAATCAGTTTTGAATCCTAATAGGTTTTAGGTTTACAAAACAGAAGAAAAGTGAGAGAAAGGAGAAGGAATAGAAGAGAAACAGGAGAACACAAGGGGTTGGGATAGGGACATCGGCAATGGAAGTGAGATAGGACCGGTAAGATGGAGATAGACGATCATAGGATAAGAACTGTGACATGCTGTGAGCTGTAGAAGTGGTGCAATGTCGTTTCCCTTTGTGAATGGCAATAGGGAGATCAAGGTCATCCACAAGAGGGGAAGTGGCAACAGTGAGAGGTGTCTCAGTAGGCTCTGGATCTGGAGCCGCAGAAGGAACTGGAGCTGGCCGGGACTGCCGATGACTAGGATCAACCTGCCTGCATCGCCAGTGGTAGACTCTCAACTCCGGCTCCCTCTGACCACCCTCACCACTACAGCCTTCATTACCCAGTGGAATAGGTAAAGGAACAGCCCCGCTCAAAACAGCCCCACTTCCACTCTCACTGCTTTCCCCCTGAGGAAAGAAACTCAAAACAGCCCCACTCTCAYWGCTCTMCCCCTGAGGAGAAACCCTAGGATAATAGGGTGTCTCCTCAAAGAAGGTGACATCCATGGAGACAAACCTTTTCCCTGAAACCGGATCATAGCAG